TGCTTCGGGATTCCATCNTTTTTTCAAGCGTTGACAGCAGAAAATATTCAATATTGAAGTCTGTGGCTCTCGTCGCCTGTGTGTGACGTCTCATTCGCTTTGATCAGCCCGTAAAGCGTAATTCTGGCCGACGCCAAGGTTACGCTTTTTTGGCCCAGAATTACATAATTCCCTCCTCGCGATCGATTTCATTTCGATTCCGAGACGAAGTTCCTCGAACCGTAACGTTTTTACGCGAACCTCATCATTGCCTTGTCTACACAGCAACCTATTAGTTGTACCTCTCAAACTGGCTGGTTGAGTTTCAATTAGCTTTTTTAGGATTTTTCCTTGGTAAACAATTCCTTTGAGATTTCAAGTTTCAGTTGAGGTTTCCTCCATTTTTAATCAACCAAATCGAACACTTCTTGTTCAAGCTCTCACCCTATGCGCCCTTTAACTTCTGTGTGCCAATCAGCAAGGATTGACTCCACTCATTGGAGCAACGCTGCTGTCCAAGAATCAAACCGTCTTCTTTACCATTAAAAACTTTGTATTTACCTTTTATCGTATGCTATTTAATTTTATGCCAAAAGCGGCTCCTTTCAAGTCGCGAAAATATAGGGGAGTTACTGATTTGCTGGTCATGAATAACTTTTTTGTACATTGAAGTGAGTAAGCAGCCATTGTATCACAAGAAGAATAAAACTATTAATTATAAAAAATTCAAATGGTAGTTATATTAGGCTATGTCTAAATATATTATTGCCGCTAATTTTCAACTCATGAAAATTCTTGAATCTACTAATTCCTAATTTGTTTTCCTAATTTTGTCGTTGTTTTCGCTTTTTCAAAACAAATCGTAGGAATGGCCGCTTAAGAGCCAGCTCTTGAGTTGCTCAAATACAAGGTGGTCCATTTCAAGTGTCATGAAAAGAACGCTTAGAGCACTTTAAAAGGCAGGGAACTGGAGAACGAGTAGGGCGCTCTGATTTCAATCATATTGCATGAAACTGTCTGAGTGAATTGATCCTTCTCAATCCTTCCTCATTGTTTATCTTCAATCTCAGAGGGGAGCCATGCTCACTGATTCTGATGAGGTTCAATATTTTTCGGCTAACAAAACTAATCGTCCAAACGCGTCGCATTCGGTTTACGATGTTTTTCTCTCAAGCCATTTCTTTTTGTTGAGAGCGTAAAGGTTGCTTTTCTCATTATGCAACGACGTATCTCGCCGTCCAACCATTCACACTTGTATCATTTTGGCCAGAAAACAGTTACAGCACGGCCTGGTTTCCTTTTTCGTCTAGGAGTTTGTTGTTTGTGCTTTTAGTCTAGACTCTAAGATTTTGTACTTACAATTCCTACTCATTTCCACTTTCTTGAGTTCAACTTCGATACTATATCCTTTCAGATTATGGTTAATCATAGGTCAGGACTCGGATTTCTATGGGCTTTTTTCAACTATACTGATTGGAATTGCACTTTCCTTAGCACACACGAATTCTATGAATGTTGAGTTCAAGTTTCATCGTCCGTTCGCTTACTTGAGAATCTTCATTTTTACGATTCCTTGGCTATGGCCACCCAGGGATTGATTGCCTTTTCTGAGGTATTTTCAAAGAAACCGTAGCCTTCGTTCAACATGTAGGGCTCTACCTGAGGACCATTGGTTCTTTGTGATGGCTACCGAGCCGAGCCTTCTGTTCGCCGAGATCTCTTAAGATTTTCCGACGCTTTTGATATACTTGATTTTGGCATATTGACTCTCAAAGGACTAGCCTACTCAAGGTGAACCATTGCATAAGAATGACACCCGTTCAAACACTGATGTGTCTCCTTGTACATGTTGAATTCATGGAATATCGCGACTTTCTTCTAGATTCTGTTGAATTCGTAACAACTCCCAGATTCCCAATCAGTGGATGAATGAATGGGTTTGCTCATGCCCGAAACAGTCTTGTAACTTCATAGTCCATTACTCTCGAAAAACTAAGAATGAAGATGCCTCACACTTGACCGTTCGCTAGCCCATCCCTGTCTAAAAAGATATTGAATATAAGTTAGCATCAGATAAAAGAAATCGCTTCAAAGCAGCTTTCCGCACGTATTTTTTTAGTGTTTACTTTGTACCATGAATTCCACCGCTGAATTGTTGTGTGTGTTGTGGTCATGATGAATAGCTGCCATTTTTTAGCCACTCATCTAAAAAAGACTTCAAATTTCGACAAAGTTGTTGACTCCGATTTCCTTCCATTGAACGATAGGTGCCAGCGAACATACACGAATTTTAATTTTTCTCCGTAAACCCCCGCAATGTGGGTTTCTGTCATAACGAAGATCAAACGGTTTTGCACATGGGGCATTCATCAAAGTTCGAAGAAGAAAAAACCGCTAACAAGGCCGAAGATTTTCATCACTCAGTGACCTCGTCCGAAGAAATATTGAATGTTTGATTGAGGAATCGATGAATCTTACACGGGAGAGTTGAAAGAGATTGTTCTGGAAGATTACCTATCTTTTCTGGGAGCTTTC